AAATATAATTTTGTAGGGAAAGTTAATTCATCTTTGGTCCAATACATATATGTAAATATATTAATATTGTTCTTGTGTTTGTGAGGTAGTAAGGAGATATATATAGAAATACAGAAAGATGTATAGACACCCTTCTGCCTGGGCAGTTTCTATCTTTCTGGAGGACGCTTTACAGCAAGATTCTCAGTCTCCTTTTATTTAATAACCAGCTTCAAACAATATCACACCCAAAATACAGATTTGTCAAGTTTTGGCAATAGTAATGAACTTAATATAAGTATTGGTTTCTGAAGCCATACGTTTCTCATACACAAAAATAAGCACGTCATTGATATTGAATGATCAGTATTATCTGTAAGATAGACAAATATGAAAAAACTTCATCCAATCTTTAGTCAAATCCTAATCATAATTTTTGTTTCTCTTATATTGAAGCCTAAACTAAAATATATTTGCATTTTTAAACTAGTTCGTCATAATATTTTGCATTATACTTTAGGATGGAGTTAAAGACCTATGGGTCCCAAGGATGTTATCTGCCCTTTTGATTGGCTTTTACTTCGGAGCTACTTTGTCAAAAGAGCAACTGGTCTTTTAAGCTTCAAAAGTCAACATAAAACTCATTTGCCATAAAAATCAAGATGTAGATGTTCCCTATTTCTGTGAACTCCTTGAAAAACTTTTAAAGTCACCAATATGGTCTATTTCTCATGAAACTTAAATTAGTTTTCTTACTGGAGTTATTTCTTTTCTGTAAAGCTAAAAAATAGAAGTTTTGTTTTATGCATTTTGGTAACCTGGAATGACCAGTTCCCAGAATGATTTGGCTTGTAATGATGGTCTCTGCTTTCTTGGGCTTGGAGTACATAATTGTAATATTTACCTAGTTATTTGCTTTTGTATTTGTTCAAAGTACTGGTTATTTTTATAAAATTCTTCGGAAGTTTTTCCTCTACTGATTGGAAGCAGATTAGTTTTTGTGCTATTAAAATAAGCTTATTATATGAAATATTTTAAAAGCAGTGTCTCTTTATGAAGTTTTTTTTTTTTTAATCATGTATCCAATACATCTCTGAAGATATGCCAAAGAAAGCTCCATTTAGGAACACCCACCTATTTGAAAACTCAGATAAGATTAACGTATGTCAGGACCTTAATGAAAGAACCAGGTACAAACCATAGTTATCCTTATGTCTCTAAAGGACAGTAAAAGAAAGCTATTTTGAAGTTCCTTAGGAAACTATCACTTATGAGTTAACGGAGTGGTTCTCAAAGTATAGTCCCTAGACCAGCAGAAGCAGCCTCACCCCAAAGCTGCTGAATTAGAAACGCTGAGGGAGGGGACCAGCAATCTGGGTTGTTGAGATTTTTTTACTTTCCTTTTTTCAAAACAACTTCATTGAAATATAATTTACATATGATTCATCATTTTTTAAATTAATTTATTTTTATTTTTGGCTACGTTGAGTCTTCGTTGCTGTGTGCAGGCTTTCTCTAGTGGCAGTGAGCAGGAGCTACTCTTCGTTGCAGTGTGCAGACTTCTCATTGCTGTGACTTCTCTTGTTGCGGAGCACAGGCTCTAGGCACGCAGGCTTCAGTAGTTGTGGCACGCAGGTTCTAGAGTGCAGGCTCAGTAGTTGTGGTGCACAGGCTTAGTTGCTCTACAACATGTGGGATCTTCCCGGACCAGGGCTCGAACCCATATCCCCTGTATTGGCAGGCGGACTCTTAACCACTGCGCCACTGGTGAAGTCCCTGACTCATCATTTAAAGTGCCCAGAAGAATGGTTTTTAGTATATTCACAGATACGTGCAACCATTACAATTTTAGAACATTTTCATCACCTCAAAAAAAAACCCCACTTTTCAACAAATGGTGCTGGGAAAATTGGATATCTACATACAAAAGAATGAAATTGGACTCTTACACCATGTGCAAAAATTAACTCATAATGGATCAAAGATATAAATGTAAGAGCTAAAACTCTAAAACTTAGAAGAAAACGGGAAAAGCTTCAAAACATTGGATTCGGTAATGATTTCTTAGATACGACACCAAAAGCACAGGCAACAAAAGTAAAAATAGATAAATAGAACTATCAAAATTTAAAACTTGTGCATCAAGGGACACAATCAACAGAGTGGAAAGGTAATGTATAGAATGGGAGAAAATATTTGCAAATAATGTATCTGATTAGGGCTTAATATCCAGAATACTCAAAGAACTTCAATAACAAAAACAAAAACCATATCACCCAATTTAAAAATAGGCAAAGGACTTGAATAGACATTTCTCCAAAGATGATACACAAATGTCCAACAAGCACATGAAAAGATGCATAGCATTTGTATTAGGGAAATGCAAATTGAAACCAAAATGAGATACCACTCACACCCACTACAATGACTGTAATCAAAAAGAAGATGGGGACTTCCCTGGTGGTCCAGTGGTTAAGACTCAGTCCCTACTGCAAGGGGCACCGGTTCGATCCCTGGTCGGGGAGCTAAGATCCCGCACGCCCACACAGTGCGGCCCCAAAAAAAGAGGGAGAAAGACAAGATAACAAGTGTTGACAAGGATGCAGAAAAATCGGAACCCTTGTGCACTGTTGAACTGATGGAAATAAAATGATGCAGCTGCTATGGAAAACAGCACAGTAGTTACTCAAAAATTAAAAGAATTAACCATGTGATGTAGCAATTCTACTGGGTATATACCCAAAAGACGTGAAAGCAGGAACTCTAACATATTTGTACACTCACGTTCATAGCATATTCACTGATAGGCAATTTCAGTGTCTATCAGTTGATGAATGGATAAATAAAATGTTATATACATAAAATGGAATATTATTCAGCCTTAAGAAGGAAAAAAAAATTCTGACACATGCTACAACATATATGAACCTTGAGGATATTATGCAAAGTGAAATGAGCCAGTCACAAAAAGATACATACTGCATGATTCCACTTACATAAGATGCTGAGTGTGGTCAAATTCATAGACACAAAGTGGAAGGGGGTGGGGAATGAGGAATTCTTGTTTAATATGTATAGAGTTTCACTTTTGTAGGATGAAAGAGTTCTAGAGATTGCACAACAATGTGGATGTACTTAACACTACTGAAATGTACACTTAAAATTGGTTAAGATGTCAATTTTGTGCATTTTACCACAATTTTTTTAAAAAATCCATAGGTGTTGCTATGGAAACAGACAGGACCTAGGAACCAAGCTTCATGATTATTATATTCTGCCAGGAGTGTAACATGTTTTACCCAAGGGGGCAAAGAGAACCGCATTCTTCTCTACACATGCTAGAATTGTGTTTACCAGCCGGAGAAGAAAAACGGAGCATCATCTACATCAGCAAAATAACACAACTGACCCAGAACATCACTGACGTGTCCCAGGACCAGATGCTGCCTGGAACCGAGCACTACCGCTTCCAAAAGTGCGGCCACAAGGAGGCAGTGTTCTTCCAGTCGCACAGAGCCAGGGCTGAGGACGCCATGAACCGGCACTACCTGTGCAGGGCCCCACACTTTGGCCACCACTGGAGTGAGTGAACCCCTTCAGCCCCACATGTATAAATGCTGGGTTCCTGCGTGCAAAACAAACAAAAAGCAAAACCCATAGCCTTTAGGTATTGCCCCCTATTTTCACATCACCCCAACCCACCTTACCCCTAAAGCAACTAGTAATCTACTTTTTTAATTTTTAAATAGCTCTTTATTGGAGTATAATTGCTTCACAATACTGTGTTAGTTTCTGTTGTACAACAAAGTGAATCAGCCATATGCATACACATGTCTTCATATCCCTTCCCTCTTAAGCCTCCCTTCCATCCTCCCTATCCCACCCCTCTAGGTCATCGTAAAGCACCATATAATCTACTTTTTATTACTATGACTTTGCCTATTCTAGACCTTTCTTTCATATTAATGGAAGCATATAATATGTGATATTTTATGACTGGTTTCTTTAGCATAATGTTGGAAGTTTCAGTCAAGTTATGTATCAGCTTCATTTATTCCTTTTTATGACCAAATAATATTTCATTGCATGAATATACCACATCTTATTTATATGTATTAGGGTAATGGGATTTTAGAGATTACACGAGCAACAAATACATATATACAAATTAGACTTCATCAAAATAAAAAGTGTGCATTAAAGAATATCAAAGTGAAAAGACAATCTAAAGAATGAGAAAAGATAATTATGAATCATATATTTGAGAAAGATCAAGTATCCAGAATATGTAAAGAATTCTTACAACCTAACAATAAATAGACAACTCTTTTTTAAATGGACAAAGGACTTGAATAGACATTTCTCTAAAGATCTACAAATGGCCAAAAAGTACATGAAAAAGATGCTTGACATCATTAGTCATTAGGGAAATGAAAATTCAAACCACATTGAGATACCAC